CTCACTTTCACACGTCACACGACTGTCCCCGGGTGAGTGGTGCCCATGTGCACGTCCACCTGCGAGCTGGCTCACTTTCACACGTCACACGACTGTCCCCGGGTGGGTGGTGCCTATGTGCACGTCCACCTGTGAGCTCGCTCACTTTCACACGTCACACGACTGTCCCTGGGTGGGTGGTGCCCGTGCGCACGTCCACCTGCGAACTCGCTCACTTTCACACATCACACGACTGTCCCCGGGTGAGTGGTGCCCGTGCGCACATCCACCTGCGAGCGCCGTTTCCCCTCGCCATGTGGAGCTGTCTTCCCGTTGCGTTTTCGGTGCATGGCAGCAGTGTCGACGTTTAACAAGGGTTCACAGGGCAGTCTCTGACGCCAAGACAGGCTCGCTGTCCGCCAGTGAGGCCAGGGGCCCAGCTCCTCTGGGATTGTGCCCTCCAGGCTGCCCAGCCCAGGAACTCTGCGTAAGGGCACCAGAACAGCAGAAACAGCCTCGCCACACGCTGCTGAGGCCCAAGAACTCTCCTTAACCTGCAGTATTCTTCCCTGGAGACGGCCACGCAGGGACCCACGAGGGGGCTGAGCTGCAGGGCTGGGGGCGGGTTGAGGTGGCATCCTGCAGTGAATGCGCATGGCAAGAAAGCAGGCTTGGGGTGTCTTCATGTTGGCTCAGAGTGGGACAGTAACTGCTTTCATTCCAAACCTCGAAACAGAGCCTCCACCCCACGCCGAATGTCAGTGTTAGGTTCCTTTGGAAAGAAAAATGCCTAAGCGCTTTATTAGAAATAATTTTCGCGGTGCGCTCATCCATCTCGGCGACAGCAGTGCGCTCCCTCAGCTTTACGGACGAGCTCGCGCGGTCCAGCCGCTTCATCATGTGGGCAGCGCACCCTTACGCGGAGCCGGCAGGCCCGTCTGAACCGTTGTTGTAAGGTTCTTTCATCTTCAATATATCACAGGATGCAATTGCATCGTAACGAAGATTCATAATTTCCAAAAAGGGACCGTTTGTCGTCCAGTTCTGGAGTCTCGGGGTGATGGTTTCATCAATCTTGTTACCGAGTGATGAACGGAACAGCCGAGAGCTTTAAACACTCCTTACAAGCCTCCCCTCGAGACCTGCACAGCTGCAGCTTGGGCTTGACGTGTGCAATTAGACGCGGTGAGCGTGCTCAGTGTGGACGGCGCAGGGAGACCGCTTGGTCCGGCCACGACTGTGCCAGAGGAGAGCTGAAGGGTGGTTGGCTGTCGGTGTGCGCCTCCCGGCTTTACGATGGTCTCTTCTCATTTGTGCAGTTGTTCATCTCTGTCGTATTTGGGCTCGGGGGACGGGCCGTCTTCCTCACCCCTTCTCCATCTTACCTTGCCTCCGAGCTGTGAAATCTGTGACGGCGATTTGTCACTTCCACTCTGAGTCTCAGTGAGACGGGATCCAGATAACGAATTCCGCGCAGGCTACGAGTGAGTGGAGCGTGCGCCCTCCGAATTCTTATGAACGCTCAGCCTGGGAATCGGGGGCGGCGGGCAGGGCCTTGTCTGACGCTCCCTATAGACGAGTGTGTAGCTGCTCAGTCCCCAGGCTTTATAGTATACCTCTGTTTTTATTTGAAAAATGTTAATATTCTTGAGAATTTTATTTGCAGCTAAAACATTTCTTTGTTTTTATGAATTATTTTATTTATTATTTTTTATTTATTTTACATTTATTCACTAAATATCATCACAGCATACAAAATGTAATTTTCCATCCAGAACACAGTGTATAGTGGCTTAATCATACATGCTGTCATCAATAAGTGATTTTCCATTTCTTGTTTCATATTATATACATATGTATATATATATGTATATCTGTGTGTCTGTGTGTGTATTTTTTTTATTCCCTATTTATCACCCTCTGCCATTTCCCACCCTCCTCTATGGTATCTACAATTGTTCCTATTCCTTTTTCCCCACATTTTGTTGATTCCCAAAATATCTTAATCTAAATATTTTCAATCAAAAGTTCAGCTGATATATGCACATCTGTGAACACATGTCTGATTTTAGGCATGAAACTCCATGAGTAAAATGAACATACTATAAAGTAGCACCTAGCTGAGGCTATATAGCTTACTACAGTCCTTAAATAGGTATTATTATTATTATTAATATATATTTTAATTTCAAGAAAACCAGTTATAGCTTTAATAAACCAAAGTCAAAAACTGTTAACAGTAATTTGCTTAAGACTTAAAGCCAGGAAACAGGTTAGGATTCTGTTCAAATAGCAGGTACATGAACCTATAGAGAACTCAAGAGAAGACACAAATCCTTAAATGTGGAGAAAAACAGCATAGAAGAAAATCAGTAATGTTTTAGTCACAAGTCATAAAATTCTACATCACCAGTCCAGTCTCACGTAATTAATCTCTCTTCCGCTGTAGTCCGATCTTTCCGTTTAAGTTCTGGAAGATAACATTCAACTCCAGATTTGTCCCTACCATTAAGCTGGCTATTTTCTTAGTTGTTTTTGAATTCTTATTTCTGCGTGTCCGACTTTAGTTTTCCTGGTATAGCACTGCATTCAGAACTCCTTGGAGAGCTGGCCTGGTGTTGGTTAATTCTTTCAGGTTTTGTTTATCTGAGAATGTTCTTGTCTTTTCTTCCCATATGAAGGATAATTTTTCTGGGTATAATATTCTTGGCTGAAATTGTTTTAACACTTTGAATACATTTTCCCATTCTTTCCTTGCTTGCATTGTTTCCAATGAGAGGGCCAACATTAGCCTGATGGGATATCCCCTGTAGGTAACTTGACATTTCTCTCTTGCCAATTTAATATCTTGTCTCTGTGGTTTTGGTTAATCTGGCTATAATGTGTCTTAGAGAAGGTCTTCTTGGGTTGATTCTATTTGGGTCCTTTGTATTTCTTGGGTCTTGATCTTTGAATGCCTTTCTAGGTTTGGAAAATATTTTTCCAGGATTTTATGGAATAAATTATCAATGCTCATATTAGTTTCTTCACCTTCTAGGATACCAATTATCCAGATGTTTGGACAATTGGTACCTAGTTTAATGGTATCTAGAATTTCTTGTATATTCTTCTCATGTTTCGGGGCTATTTTCTCAATCTTCGTAGTGGATTTTTCTAGGCCAGTGATTCTGTCCTCTACATCTGAGATTTGATCTTCTATATGATCTAGTCTGCTTTTAATACTTTTGAGAGAGGTTTTGATTTCCCGTATTATAGCTTTCATCTCTAACAATTCCATTTGATTCTTTTTTTGGCGGGCGGAGGGGGAAGATTTTTTGCTATAGGGCACGTGCACTCGCCAGAAAGAGAGAGACAAAGAGACAGAAAGCGAGAAATCATCCCCCAGGTGGATGGCCACACTGCAATCCCCTTTCTTCCATTCTCTTCTTGGGATCTTGGGCACACATGCACACGTGCCTGGTGTGAGTTTAAGCCACTGGGTCCGGGACTCGAACCGCAGTTGACCACATTGGGAGTCCAGTGATGCAGCCATTACACCATCTGCTGGTCCCCCATTTGATTCTTTTGTATGGTGTATGTTTCCTCTTTCAGATTGTGCAAAGAACTTCTTCACCTCCTGGAACTTGTCAGCTCTTTTCTCCTGCCTCTTCTGGAGTTCATTATCTCTCTTCTCTTGCATCTCCATTAGCTTTGTCACTATGAATATTCTAAATTCTTTATCAGACATTTCCGCAAATTCTATTATACTGTCTGTGAATGAAGAGGAGTTATTACTTTTCCCTTGGAGAAGAGATAATTTCTTAGGGTCACCAAAGTCCCCGACCTCTTCTGTTGCAGAGATTAACCAAAGCGCCGATAACTTACATGTATTCCTGCTCGT